CATCTGTTTTCTGACATCTAACAGGTGATGTTGAGTGGTCTAGAGCAAACCACAAGAAGGTGTAAATACAGTTGGTAACTAAAAGCTCCTGTTTCATATGCTTGCCTGATGAGAATCACCTGGGGCTCTTATTAATAAACATTTGGATTCTCAGGCCGTACCCCAGGCCTTACTCCAGCCCTTTTGAATCAAGTTCCAGAGAGGAATTATTTCTGATCAGGCAAGTTTAGAAAAACGCTGAGCATATTGCTTCACAGTGCACACTTCTAAGTAGGAGGTGATGGTGAATTTTTCTCTACCCAAGCTAAGGACAAATTTCTAGAATTTCTTGGATTATGAATTGGGGAGTGGCCACTTAAATAGATGTGAACATATTAGGATTTTGCATAGGGTACCTGGATTTTAGATTGCTCTGTGATTTCTGTGTGTATCTAAGGAAGGAAGGTGCTAAAACTTTAAAATAACAACCTCTGCTCTTCAAGTTTTATACAGTTATTGTAGGATTGAGGGAATGCAGAGCTTTTTGTGGAAGTTCCGTGCACTTTTAATACTGGGGATTTAAAGCATTGTTGATGGGGAAAGGCTTCATATTGCCTGGAAAATGTGAATGGTGCTAAATTGGAGTTCTTCTTGTGGTATGAGACTTGTTTTCTCTGTATAGTTCAAATATGAGTAATTTGGTAGGCTTTGGGATGTTTGTATTTTTCTCATTTCATAATAATATGTAGCCTCTTTTATAAACATCTCACTGTGCTTTGGGCAAATGCAAATAGTTAAACCTGTGTCTTGCCCTTTAAAAGCAAGAGAAATAAATGTTTTTGTTAATTGTAGCACACAAACTGATTCTAAAATTCATATGGAAAGACAAAGGACCCAGAATAGCCAAAATAATCTTGAAGAAGAACAAAGGTGGAAGGCTCACACTTCACCAGTTTCAAAACTTACTACAAAGCTACTATAATCAAAACAGTGTTGTACTGTCATTAGAATAGATAAATAGATCAACCAAATAGAATTGAGAGTCGAGAAATTAATTCTTACATTTATGGTCATTTGATGACCATTCAATTGGGGAAGAATAGTCTTATCAATGAAGCATTGGGACAATTGGATTTCTACATGCAAAGGAATGAATTGAGATGCTTGTCTCATACCATATACACAAGTTAATTCAAAGTGGATCATAGACCTAAATGTAACAGCTAAAACTATAAAACTAGAAGAAAACATAACCTTCATGACCTTGGGTTAGACAAGGTCTCTTATATATGACACCATAAGACAACCAAAGAAAAAATAAATAGGACTTTATGAAAATGAAAAGTCCTGTGCATCAAAGGACACTGTCAAGAAATTGAAAAGATGACCCAGAGTGAGAGAAAATATTGCAAATCTTATCTGAAAAGAAACTTGTATCCAAAATGTTTTTTAAAAACTCTAAAAATTCAACAATAAAAAGAAAAACCGAATTTAAAATTTGTCTAAGAATTTGCAAAGTCATTTTTCCAAAAAAGATGTATAAATGGTCAAGAAGCACACAGAAAAATGTTCAGCATTATTAGTCATTAGAGAAATGCAAATGAAACCACAGTGAGATACCACTTCAGACTCACTAGGATGGCTATAATCAGAGACAGTAACAAGTGTTGGCCTTATAGGCGAGAAAGTAATACAGTACGGTCACTTTGGAAAACAGTTTGGCAGTTCCTCAGAATGTTAAACATATAGTTACCATGTGACTCATTAATTCCTAAAATAATGGGAATTCTTGTATATACCCAATTTTGTAGATACCCAAAAGAAATGTCCAACTGATGAATGGATTAAACAAAATGTGGTATATCCATATAATGGAATATTATTTGGCAATGAAAAGGAAGTACATATCCAGGATATATATGGATGAAAACTTGCTAAGTAAAAAAAGTCAGTCTTGTATAATTCCATTTATAGGGAATATGCAAAATAGACAAATCATTAGAAATAGAAAGTAGACTAGTGGTTGCCAGGGCCCGGGAAAAGTGAAGAATGGGGACTATTTTGGGGTTCTGGATTTATTTTGGGGGTGATGAAGTATTCTGAAATTAGATATTAATGATAATTGTACTATTCCATGAATATACTAAAATCCTCTGAATCGTATACTTTAAAAAGATGAATTTTATGGTACGTGAATTATGTTCTAACCTTTAAAAAAAAGATTTTATTTATTTATTCGTGAGACACACAGACATAGGCAGAGGGAGAGGCAGGCTCCCTATGGGGAGCCCAATGCGGGACTCCATCCCAGGACCTCAGATCATGACCTGAGCCACCCAGGTGTTCATAAGCTGTTGTTTTCTTAAAATAACTATTACACAGGTATTTAGTGATAAATATCAAAAAGAAGGATTTCAAATGATGGAGACATTATCTCTAAGCTTGGTGGTAGGTAGATTGAGGATTTATGAAAAGTGTGTTTGCATTGAGCAGCTTTTAAGGAAGATGGAGATTTTGCTGTGTAGCTCTTTCCAAAAAGAAGAGTTCCAAGTCACAGAATTTAGCATGAGATAAGGTCAGGAACTTGGGAAAGTCTTTGGAAGGAAGTTGTAGTTCAGCTTAGTAGCTGTATAGGGATTGTGAGCAGTTTCAATTTGAGACATAATTAGAAAGACAGGATGGTCCCAGATTAGTGTGTGTGTGTGGGGTCTCTGAATGCCAGCATAAGGAATTCTCTGCCATATTTGTTTCAGCTATAGAAATTGATAAAGTGACACACCTAGGAGCTGTGTATTAGAAAAATTAATCAATGGCAGAGTGTAGCATTATGTGGAAAGGAGGGAGCTCACCTATGAAATACCCATTAGGAGTCCGATGCAATTGGTTTGAGAAGAAGACTTTCCTTTTTGAAATTACCTAAAACTAATTACTTTGAGCTCTGGGCCTTCTGATACCAGCTTGGTGAATTTGAAAGGCCTCACACACAGATGTTATTTTACTTCATTTCCTGGGAAAATGAATCACAGTTTCCTAGTAAAGAGCTGTCTGGGGGTGCTAAACAATAGTGTGTGGCCCATGCTTGGCCAATCCATTCATTTTGGTTCCTTTTTCTTCTGTTGCTCACCACCTGTGTTTTTTGTTTTTATTTTTTTCTTTCCTGCCTTCCTTCCTGCTCTAGCTTGGTCTTCTGTCTCCCTTCCCTTACCTCCCATCTGTAAATATAAGACAGTTTAGCAGAGAAAATTACCAATATTTCTTTATACAACATAAAGCTTGTTATTAGCTGTAGGAGAAAAAAGGATGAAGAAAACCTTTTTGCGAAGCCTATATGGAGACATTAACATAGGCTGTATCAACAAACATTTTAATGGAAAATGTGTAAAATATAGTAACATTTTTGGGGAATTTAATATAAAAGTTTATATATATTATATAAATATATAAAATATGAAAGTAACTGAGAAGTGAGAAGGCTCACTTTGCAAATATTTTTAAGCCTCTACTTGATCTCATGAAGGTCTCAGCATTCCCATTTCTGACTAATCCTTCTTAGAAGTTTGAGGTCTCCTGTTTTGGTGTCCTTGAATAGCAAACTTAAACCCAGACTGTGCCTCCAGTACTGTATAATGAAATAGTCACTACATTCCTGAGATTTAGGGAACTAAAAGATTGTCACATTTTCAAAGCTCACAATGAGGCCATCTAACTAAAACCAGCTGTCTAATTTATCATTTCTACCAAATGCTCTTTTGATCTTGGATTATACTGATAAGGATATTTAAAAGATAGCCATAGCCATGTCTGTACAGATTCAATTTTCTAGTATGAACATGCAATTAAACCATTAGATCCAGTGTGGGTGTGAAGATGGAGTTATCTCAATGCAGAAGGAAGCCTTTTTCTTTAAAGAGTTTGTCAGGTTTTGTTTGTTTTTATTTTGGGGGAGTGTTGGTAGGGCAGCCAAAGGCAACAAGGATATGTGGCTTGATTCTTTTGCTCTATTCAGGTGAGACTGTTAATTTGTGCTGAGACCTAATATTGAAGACAAACCTGTGATATCCTGAGAGAAAGGGAGGGAAAGAGTAGGTAGCAGAAGGAGACTGGGCCAAGTTGAAGGTTAAGACACCTCCTTTTGAATCTTAGCTCTGTCACTTCTATTTTCCTCAGCCAACTTGTGTCACCTTTCTGAGCCTGAGTTTTATGAAGATGGGGGCAGTTGGGAAGATGAAATAAATTAACTCATGAAAGGATTCATGTTATCTGATTTACTATAAATGCTGAGTCCTGTGAGACTTCATGGGGTTTACCATTCATATTTTTCATAATAATATGTTAATGATCTACACAGCAGTTTAAAACTTCCAATTTGGCATACTATAGTTCTAGAGAGATATGATGTTCTCAGTAAATTACTTAAATCATAGTTTTTGAAACCTGGTTATGGCTCATATCCTGGGACAGTGAGTTGCAGTCCAAAAATTTATGCTCAAGGTGGCGCTGTTTCCTCATAAATTTGGTGATGTTTTGCATTGTATCCCTGTCCCAACTCAAACAAATAACTAGATGTATCTTTAGGACCATCTCTGCCTGATGTAGTCCCCAGGCCTTCTCACCTGTGATGCCCCACCCAATATCCTATCCAGGTACACACACTTACCATATTTACTATAACATGTATGTGACAGTTGCACCATCATGAACTAGTTGACCTGTTTTATTTTTTAAGACATTTGTTACAATGATACTTTACAGCATATCGCTTTCTTTTTGTATTTTGGAGTTTTTAGGTCTCAAATATGTAAAAAGATTGTGGGGCCTGGTTCTTGATGGCATAAAGGACATGATACAGTTCTTCCTCAAACTGATTATAATACAAGGAAAAATGTCCATGCTGAACTTCATTTTTGCTAATCTGTGTCAAGACCACCATATTATTTCCCACTTTTTGTCAGAAACTACAAATATATTTCACACGTATGGGTATTCTGAGCTTGATGTCAATTGTTTTGCTTTATTTTTAGATCCGGGGATTTCTGTCACGGTTTGATAATGTTCTTCCTGTCAGCCTGGCGTTTGACAAATGTACAGCTTGTTCTTCCAAAGTAAGTCGTTCGGCATTTGAAGGACTTGTTTTTTAAAATGAGCCTATCATCTTTACTAGCCAGAGCACTGAAACCAACTGAGGACTTTTTGGAGGGGGAGAGGGAAGGTCTAAAACACCAGAAGAGATTTGTCATTCATGTGTATTCATTCTCACAGAGAAACCAGCCTGAGAAAGTTTGATTTATAGTGTACAAAGAGAGATTGAATTAGATATTGTAGATATCTGTATCAATACTTGCCTCATAATAATTTTGGCTTGAATATGAACGTTACTAGGTTTTGTTCCTCCTCAGAAGTTCCTTGCTCACGTGGACCATCCTAGAGCAATTTGTAAGTGTTATCAGAGGAGGGAGTTAAACTAGGCAGTCCTCGTGGTTTGTCTTTGGGAGATCTACATAATGACAAAAAGTAAACAGAGATTAGGGGCCTGGCTAGGGAGGCCATAAAAGGGCCCCTTTTGCTTTGATCTTTCCAGAGGCTCTAAAAATAGAGCTGATATGTACCCCATTGTAATGGGAAACGGCTGATGTATCTCAAAACTACAGTTGATGGCATCTCCTTTTTTAACAGGCCTAGAGATAGGCTGAGTTATTTGTGCCTTTATACTGTGTGTTATTGCTAATTTTCTTTTGTATGCCTCTTTAAGCCTTCTGATGCCCAGTGATTTAACTTGGGCTTTTAAAACTCAAGCTTTTTGGTAAGACTTTCATGTACAAGTGTTATGCAAAGTAGTATTAGGGTCATTAACCCCTAAGTCTGGCATCTCACTTCTAACTCAGGACTTCTTTGCCTTGGCCTACAACATCTAGCAGTATGGAAGGGATTGAGGTCTTGGGAAATTATCTCCATTCTGAGTTGATAAGCTTTTTTTTTTTTTTTAAAGACTTTACTTGGTAATATCCTATGAGAAGCATAATCCTACCCAGTCTTAAAAAATTAAATCATTTGAGAATGCTGATAAATTTGGTTAATTTTAGGTGTTCAAACATTGAGAGTAACTTTTTTTCTTCAAAAAGTAAACTAAGCTGTTTTATCATTGTGCATCCCAAGCATCAATATTGAGATTTAAAGCTTGCCATTTGTCAGTAGTTACCCACAAGCTCATTCTTTTTGCCATCTCTTTGAGGTATCTTATATCTGTTCACATCAAGGCGTTAAAGATATCTGTACACTTCTGTCTTCAGAAATGCAGGTTTTAGGATTATATGTTTTTTAGAGAGCACATTTTTTTTTCTTTGAATGGCTAAGCTAATTGGTCTCAAAATAACTTGGCAGTATTAATTTTCATACTGAAATCATTTGGCACAGGTGCCAGAAGTTTTTCTGTGGCTTTATGTAGATCATGCATCTCAATGAAATAAAGATAATTGGGTTCTGTAAGTGAAATGCAAACACTCATTCTTTTTTGTTCTCTTTCTAATTAAATTAGCCCTTGAGATACTGTTTATGAAAGAATCACAGGCATACTAGCTAACTGAGGTCCCTTATATTCTTTGAAAGAATCGCTTTGCATTTTTCTTTCACACTTATTGTAAGCATTAAACTAAATATAGGTATCACTTTTTTGTTAGCGAAGTTAATTCCTCTTGGTGGTCATTCTGAGAGTCCTGCTTTACATAAACATGCTGGACGATTTAATACAAACTGCCTTGAATTTTAACAGCTGTGCTATTCCCAGAGCGATCACTTTTCATGTGGTCTGGGTATTAAATTTCTTTTGTGCTGAAAAGGTTGCTTCACTGGTGCATGTATTTCCTTACAGTAGAAACACAGCATTTACTTACTTGGCTAACTTCTTTATTCGCTTAGGAGAATGTCATTCTCTATTATCTGCAAACCCAACATTAATACTTTGAAATGACAAATCCAATTGCAGTTTCATCTCTGTGCATGTGAATTTTTCTTAATACATACTTAGCATAATATTTTCATACTGAGTCATATCATAGTTATTGTTTCAAAAAGATTCTTGGGGCTAAAAATGACTTTTTAAAAATTCTCCTTTGATATCCATGAAGTAATTTTTTTTCCTTTGGTAGTTTTTGGTATTTTTGCCTCCCCCCCTATCCCACCCCCCCAGACCAGGGTCATACTTGTGTTTGATTTAACACAAAGACAAAGATGGGGAGATAGAATAAGTTCTGCTGAGTGATAATGCTGTGTTCCTTGGCATATTTTATATTTGTGTGTGTGTGTGTGTGTGTGTGTGTGTGTGTGTGTATAGAGCTTTTATAAGGCCTGGAGAGAATGCAGTTCTCTGCTATGTCAGGGAAGTCTGAATCATCCATACACAAATTGTTTATTATCTTGTTTTGTTTTAACTTGGCATATAGCCAGATGAATTGTTCTTACAGAAAAAATATTGAAGAATCTGGAGGGAGTTGGGTAGTAAAGAGGCACTTTCATTCCAATTTCTGTTTATTGTCTTACAAGACTTTCTAAAATCTAAAAGCATGGAATTTCAAAAAATCTTATTTGAAGGTATATGAATTGTTTTTAGTTCTAAAAAGGAATTTAGTGCCAACTAAAGTTTTTGTGGATTGCTACCATAGGGAAAAATAGAATTTTAAAACCAATATTCTTGAAACAATTTCTCATAATACACTGATTTAGTTATTATTAGCCTTACGTCTAAATATTTTGGGGGAGGGGACTCCTGGGTGGCTCAGCGGTTGAGCATCTGCCTTCAGCTCAGGGCGTTGATCCTGGGGTCCTGGGATAGAGTCTCACATCAGGCTCCCTGCATGGAGCCTGCTTCTCCCTCTGCCTATATCTCTGCCTCTCTCTCCTTGTCTCTCATGAATAAATAAAATCTTTAAAAAAGATAAATATTTTGGGGGAGGTTAGGGTATTTTGAGGGTAACTTTGTATTTTAATATGATTTCATACTTTCAGGAAAGATACAAGAATAGTACAGAGAACCTTCTTACACTCTACCCAGATTGACCAGTTGTTTGTTTACATTTTTGCTCCACTTATATATGCATACTCCCCTCCCTCTCACCCTGCTTCCTCCTCCTCACCCTTCTCTTTTTTCTTGCAACTTTGAGAGTAAGTTGGAAACACTGTGTCCTTTCCAACTAAATACTTCAATGTGTATTTCCTAAGGAAAAGGCTATTCTCTTACCTAAACACAATATACTTTTCAAATTCAGGCAATTTAATGTTGCCACAATATTCTTACCTAATCCACAGTCTATATTTTAAATGTTGTTACTTGTAACAGTAACAGTCTTTATAGGTTTCTTTTCCCAAACCAGTTCAGGATCAAGCATGCACTTAGTTGTCGTATCTCTTTGGCTTCCCTCAATCTGAAAAAGTTCCTTAACCTTTCTTTCTTTGTCTTTCTTAACCTAAATATGTTGATATTTTGCCAGTTGTTTTGTAGCATTTCCCTCAATTTGATTTTGTCTCCTGTTTCCTTATGATTTGAGTCAGGTCATGAAATTTTGGCAGAACTACCAAAGAGGTGATGATGTATCATCATGTTAGGAGGCACATGATATATTTTATCCCCTATGGTGATGTTAATTTACCCTCTCCCATATTTGTAACTACCTTCCCCAATGGTGAAAAACCTGAGATAATGAGATAATGAGATCCTGCATGTATTTACTCACTTGCTCCAGTCTAGAATACATAGAAAATAGTTTCAAAATTGCTAGCTCATACCACTCCAGAAAATAAACCTACTAATTAGAGTTTAATCTTTGTCCATGGTTCTTTTTTTCTAGGTAAAATTTATATATACTAGAGAGCATGAATTTTTTTTTTGAGAGCATGAATCTTAAGAGCAAACAATCCTGTAAGTTTTGACAAGTGTATACATGCATGTAACCCACATTTCAATCAAGATATAGAATGTTTCCATCGCCCCAGAAAGTCCTCTTATCCCCCTTCCCAGACCATCTCAAGGAAGGAGGACAGTATGTTGAATGTTGTGACCATTCTCTTTCCCTATAAGGGGTAAAGCTAGGTACCTTCTGGTATTTTATGCAACAATAGCCTAGTTTCTGGATCCTAGAGGTTGATGAGAAACTTCTTTCAAATCTGTAGTCAGGAACAGGACTGTGCCTGAGGGGACTGCATGTGGATATTCTTCTTGTACAATCTGTCACCCACACCCTTTGTGATACTGCAGGAATAGCCTTGCATGAAGAAGCAGGTCCCGGTCTTGGTTTTCTTTTTTTTTTTTTTTTTTTTCAGTCTTGGTTTTCATACTGTCTGGGACCTGCCCACTGCACAGATGCAGCAAGCTGTGCCCAGAAACCTGATCTGGGGATTTTAATTAGCAATTAGCAACCCTAATAATACACTTTGGTGTTTACCACGCCATGGGTCTTCTATTGATGGGTTCTGATTAAACTTCCCACAGTGACTTGCTATTAACTTTTTGTGTGTACCTGTGTACATGTATCTTGAGTGATAGAGAGGGTGTAGGAATAATACACTTTGGTGTCTTTCTGTAATAAAGTATACGGGTTGTGTGTTGCCAATCTGTCCATTTTTTGGATATTTTGTAATCTTAATGTTTTTCTAACCTATTTCTTTGTTACTTAAGTAGTATGAAATAACAATAGTCAATTTAGCTGTTTTAACTTTAGGGAAAACCTCTGTCCGGAAGCAATCTCTCTTGCCTCAGGTTCTACAAATGCACCCTTTCCAGGATAGAAAAACAAGTCATAGATATGCAAAGAGAGGTAAAAGTCTTGCTGTATGGCTGTTAGTAGGTTTCATTCATTCAGCTGTCATTTGAGTTCCTGCTAGGTGCCAGAGATACAATGACTTAAAAAGAACGCTATCTAGAGGATGAGACAGATCTGTAAACCAGCAGTGATTTCCCTTATATAGTGGTATGCTGTGCAGTCAAAAGTGCATCCTTTTGTTGGGGTGTCCCAGTACCCATTAATTTTTCAAATAGAGACCAGGGACAGCATTGCAGAAAGTGACTTTTGAGTTGATGTTAAAGGATGAGGAGGAATTTCTAGAAACACATGGA